GCGAAGGATAGGCCCACGGCGGCAGTGACACCGCAGCTTTTCACCAGGCGCCTCTGGAGAACGTGCTGTGTTCCAGCCACTGTCCTCCGTTCGTGGAGCAGGGGTTCCAGGAAACAGACTGAGAAGCCAGACTTGACACCCATGGAGATGCCGGCAGGGTCCCTGAGCACAGGGGGCTCACGGGAAGGAACTTACCGGCTGGGGGCGGTTTCCAACCAGTAGCAGGAAAGGGGGTGCCCCTCTGAGGAAGATGCACCTGGGCCTTCCACCGGGCGGGGCTGGGTGTGGCTCCCCGGAGAGGGTGTTCATCCCAAGATGGGCAGGTCTGAGAGTGCGGGGAGATTCAAACACTGTTTCAAGGCTCCCACGTCGGCAGCAGGGAGCCATCGGTAACTTGTGAGATAGAAGATGCCAGATGGGTCTGATAGAGGCTCAGAGAAGGGACTAGGGGATTAGGAATCTCGTCAAATCCCCACCGAGTAGAGGGCGACCGGCACAAACATGACGTCGCCTCTCCTTCGGGGCTTGATTGCTTTCGGGATGTGGGGGCAGTAAGCCTGACGGCTCGGACGTCCCTGTGCCTGAAAGCTGATGACCGTCCAGAGAGATATTTGGGAGTCAGTCAAATGGCCACTGTCCATGGACCAGGAGACCAAGTAGAAACAGTGGGGGCTGAGGAGGCTGCGGGCTCGGTGCTCCCAGGAGGGGCTCCTTCTGCACATCCTTTCCCGGAAGACGAGATGTTTGCGTTGTCACCTTCGCGCTCAGAGCGCCCACTCATCTTTGCTTTTGGGATGCATGTTCCCACGGCACGTACCTAAAAGCATGTGATGACAGACGTGATGTAAATCTTAGGCCAGGGGTCCTCAAACTTTTTAAACGGGGCCAGTTCACTGTCCCTCAGACCGTTGGGGCCAGACTATAGTTTAAAAAAAACTATGAACAAATTCCTATGCACACTGCACATATCTTATTCTGAAGTAAAAAACCAAAACGGGAACAAATACAATATTTGTATTTGCATGTGGCCCGCGGGCCGTAGTTTGAGGACCCCTGGCTTAGGCAGTCACAAATCTGTGTCTGTGATACGATCCGCCAGAATTTTCAGTAACTGCAGTGAGCCCGACTGCCCATCAGGCCAGTGTGCAGGGGCTGCAGTGTCGTTTCCTCCACATTCTCCCACATCAGCCGTTCCTGCAGTGGGTGGGTACAGTCTCAGTGGAGTTTGTTTCCACCCTCCCCCCAAGCTAGGACCGCCCGTCTTCCGCTGGGGCTCCTCCACGAGGGAACGTGGGCGGCCTGGTTCTGCTCAAGGGGCCTCAGCTGCCGACGGCCCAGGAGACCTGTGTGTGCCGGCCGCGCCCAGGCTTCTGTGCCGGGCCTTCCTGGGAGCAGAGGTTCGAGAGAGAGCGCACACATGGCGGTGGCACAGGCATGGGGTTTCCCTGTAGGCCTGCCAGGGCGCCGGAGCTCCAGCAGCACAGAATGTTGGCGGAGACGTGAACGTCGTGACACCATTAATATACGCGGCCTCTGAAACTCACTTTAAATCCATGTAAAAACGCCACAGCTGGTAACGTCACATTAAGCGAAAAGAGGGGAGGAGAATTCACCGTGAGGCAGGTGTGCACACGTGGTGCCGATGGAGGCAAACGGGTCAGTGGGAGAAACTTCCTACCTCCTTCCTGGCTTGGCTTTACCATGAACACCGAACCAGCCGCTGGCTCTGAGCTGCGGAACTGTGCGTGTGGCCAGCCCAGCGCAGGCAGTGAGGTCGGACCTGCCTGGGCCTCCGTCTGACAGCTCCGCCCCCCCCCCCCCTTTGTCTCCTGACAGCAGTGACAGCGATGGCATGGACCTGGCCCGCGTGCTTCTGCGCGAGTTCGGAGACAGGGAGCGGCTCTGCGCCACCCTCGCCCCAGGCCTGTGAGTACCAGTAATTCCCAGCATCCCGTGTCTGAGGAACCCAGCGCTAAAACCTGAAGTGGCAGTTAACTAGGCCTGTGTACCACCTGCCATTTACTTTTAGGGAAACGTGTGTGTGTGAAACAATTTGCTCTAATTCTTTAACTGAGGGACTTAACGAGTTCGGGTTGGGAGCCAGTTGCCCTGAACATCTCTTCCCACGACGTGAAGGGATCCTAGAGGCCTGGCCTTCAGCGAGCATGGCCCGAGCCCGCTTTCTCGCTGAGCCCCCTCGCGGGCCTGGCTGCTCCCTACTGAGGAGCTCCATGTGGCGGAACCGAGCGGGTGTGGGCACGGCCTGGTCTCAGGCGTCAGTGCTCTGGGCAGAGCAAACGGGGAAGAGATGAACACCATGATGATGCATTAAGGACAGCAGTGCGTGTTTCCAAGTGATAAATACAAAACGCAGACAGTAATGCCATGTTGGGAATCTCTTTTTCTAATTGATGGTGACACTTTGTGCCCATTAGTCATGGCGGCCATTAGCTCCAGACTGAAGGCTCTGAATGGTCCCGGCAGGGGGATTAATAGAAAATTAATTATGTCGTTTCCCTTTACTTTTCTTCTGAAAAACAAAGCAATTGCTTTAACTAAGTAGAGCTCTCTGTGAGGCTTTCATTCTCTGCGACTGAACGGAGCAGGACGTGAAATCGTCTGCGAGGAGGAACGCGTGGTCTGGGCGCCGTCCTGGCCCAGCCTCGCACAGAGAAGGGCATTGGGGGGGCGGGAGGGGCGGTTCCTTATCTGGCCTCTCGAGGGAGAAGGCGTAGAGCCAGTGCCAAGGGCAGCAGGACGCTTTCCACGTTCTGTGTAAACAGCAATTTCACCTTTAGGTTCTTGGCCAGGCAAGGCCCTGGTCCCCACACTCCCCAGCCCGGCCTGCAGGCCACACTCTGCCTTTCCCCTGCCCTCCTTCCTTTACCTGTAAAACCCAGGTAGCCTGTTCCTCACTCCTATTTTGTCTCCATTTCTACCCTTTTCCTTGGGCAAAGGCTGGGCTGCGGGCTGCCTCAGGCAGGGGTGCTGGGCGCACCTCCGTGAACAGCAGTTGCCGTCCATGCCGCACAAACAGCTGAGGTCTGAGACCGAAGCAAAGGCTTTTACTTAAAACAAGGGCCTTGGCTTCTCTGGGTGTAACGTGTGGCCGAGTCCAGTGATTCCTACGCGCTCCCTTCCTGGCGGGCCCAGCTACCGCCCGGTTCCCCAGAGGAGGCCGCCCGATGCTGGTCACCCCTCGCACTCGGCGGCCTCTCTGCTGAGCTCTGAGCGGTCAGGTCTGCAGAGCGCCTGCCTGTTGAGACCCGAGCTGTCGCGTTGTCCTCCTAACGGGTGTGTAGTCTGAGATGTGCCGGTGTTGCTAACTTAGAAACAGGCGGCAGGTTTATATCTAGATTCATTTTACAAGGTAGCAACCCGCTGACACTCCGGGACGATTCCCTCACGATTTTGGAGGTAAAATGGTCCCTTTCCCACCGGTTCTCGCTGGTCTTTATCTGTAAATTGAAAGTGGGAGTTGGCCAGTCCATGTTCCTGTTGAACTCCTAAAGCCGCGTGGGGAGGGCGTCGCTCTCTGTGCGGATTCCACCGCAGCCACAGGAGGGCCTCCCCATGGGACCCCCAGTCCCGGGCGGCCCTGTGTGCTGTCTAAGAGGGAGCAAGGGAGGAGAGCTGGGGTGGGGGGGGGGCGGTTGGAACAAACAGACTGTCTTGGAAGAATTCGCTGTTACAAACACTCGCTAGCAGTCATGGGAGGCGTGCAGAGCTCGGGCAGCCTGCTGAGCGGGAGAAGTGAAAGGAGTCAGGGCCGGATCACAGTCTAACGAAAGGCGTGGTCTCCGCCTGCGACCCCGGGGTCACTGCCCAGAAGCAGGACTGGGGAGGCTTGAGGTCAGTTTTTATACTTTAGAAAATGAGGTGGAATTGCACTCTGCCCACCGGGTAACAGGAACACAGGTTTCTTTTCACCGGGTGCATGCGTGTCTCTCGGTGCTCTGTGCTCTGCCCCGTGCAGAGGCCGCTGAGCTCCCAGCCCGGAGGGTGGAGGAGTCGCCTCACCGCCAGGCCCCAGTGCTCCTGCCCCAGGGTCCGTCCAGTCAGCTGCCTCCCTCATTCCCAACCCCTGAGTAAATAGGAATATTCACACTAAAGCAACGTTTGACTTACAGACATTCATAAACTCACAGCACGAGGCCTGCGAGGAAAGAGCTGGGGGGACTTCGGAATAAAAAGGGTTTTGAGCTGTGGCTGCCAATTGTTTCCAACAGTCCTGTGCGCAGCCTTTCTCCAGGCGGAAGCGGAGCAGTCGGTTCCTCTGTAAACGATGGCCAAGTGCGCGCCTGTTGGGTGGACAGCGCGGCTCCCCGTGCGCGTGGCTGCTGTGCTGCGGCTGAAGGTGCTGGGGTTTGAGACCCGGACTTGCCCGAGTCTGGAAACGCTGTCCTCAGACCGACATCTGCGTGGGGGCGCGTGGGGGGCGGGCTCGCAGCCAGCGATGTGCCTGTCGAGGGGCCTCGCCCAGAAGCCGGGGTACAGCCTCACTCGGTCCTGTTGTTTCCGCAGGACGAACGCCTCCTGTTGGCACCCGGAGCCCGCGTCTCACCCAGAAGCCCCGGGTTCCTGTGGCTGCCTGGTAGGTGTCAGTGGCATTCTGGTTTTTTAAAAAAGTCTAAACCTCAAGTAACAATGTTTACTTCACTTATAAAACCTCCGTTTCTGTTAACTCTGAGCCTGGGGGCTTCGGTTGATGTGGGGAGCTGCCCCTTGGGAAGGTCCATCCCACAAAGTGAGCGTTCAGACCCTGGGACGTTACGGACGTTACGTGGGTTCCACGGCGGCCCCTCGTTTACGCTTCCGCTGACGCCGGGAAGCGGGACTCGCCTGGGGGAGAATCTCCCCACGTCCCGCAGGATGCCCGGCTCCTGCCCCATGGTCTTTACGTGAGTTCTGAGGACGGGGGTGAACGCGAAGATGCCATCGGCCTCCTGCCGACGGCTGATGCCTGCTGAGCGGAGGTGCTGGCATCGATTCCAGGCAGAGGCCTGGCTGCCCCGTCTGCGAGGAGCGCAGGTCGGGATCCACTTGGAGAACCGATTGGAATTCCTCTCAAAGGAAACTCCGCGGCAGTTAATGCAGGTGTCGGCCTGTCGGCCACAGTGGGCAGCTAACGTGGGACCCCGGTTACGAAAAGGAGGAGAATCGGCTTCGGAAGCCGATGCGCGAGCCAGTGTCCCGTCCGGACTCGTGACAGTCCTCATGCGTGACCTTCCCTACATGTCCCGAGAGATGGGGAGGAGCAAAGGGCCCGGGTCCGAGGC